GTTTCTGAAGCAGTGGCTTGTTCTCAGCCCTTTCGAAGTGGGCCTGCCACTCCCCGCGGGTCCCAGCTTTGGAACAGAGCGAGGTTGCCACTCCGAGGCTGGCCTGATCAGGACTGATGGCTTGTCTCCTAGGTTGGTTTGATGTCTCCTTTTTTTTTTCCTCTCCTTTCTCCCTAGCACCCTCCCTGGTTGGTTAACATAGCCCCTAAACTATGTTCCTTTCATATACAGTTAGACTCACTTGCTCATCAGTCAAGATGCAGACTGAAGCTCGAGATGCTAATTAAATAGAACCCACTCTAGGAATTAGGTTCCTCTTACTCGTTTCTCCAGAAGGAAAGGCCTTGAAGAAAGTTTCAGGAGTTTATCTGGCGTTTGCACTTGATTTGGTGAAGCCTTGTCCTGAAATGCAGTTAACTTTTCAATTTAGGATGAAAGCTATGAGCTTCTGATGCAACAATGCCTGATGGAGCCCTGACCCTGCAGGAAACCACATGTAATTTCCTTCCTCCCAGGGGACGTGACCCCCAGGCCATGCGTTTCTTAATGCTAGGTGGGCAGCTCCTGCCTACACTGGACAGCTGCTAACTCAACTCTCGAAGGCTGTCCTGGAAGAACGCTTTTTGTTTGTTGCAATTTTAATCCGATATTCTCCCATCATTTCCTTCCAGATAGGATCAAATTTTTAACTGTCTTTAGAAAAAAAGTAAATTATTGATAACCTTCTTTAGTGCACCTGATCTAAACCTGTATTTTCACGGAAACTATTTTAGGAAGCAGTGGAAGTGTGTATGTGTGTGTGTGTGTTTGCCTGAGGCAGAGGGTTAGAATTAAGATGTCATTTTGAAATAGGTAATGTGAAAAATCATTCATGTGTTCCCATAGCCTGCATAATGTGTGCTTATTGGGTTATTCTGTCATCCTGACTGAGGAAGAAAAAAACAAAACCAGAATTCAATTCATTTTTTGGTACCAGTTTCTTAGTAATGTCCTTTGCCAAATATATGGTTGGTGTGAATGAGATGAATTTGTGAAGCTGCTTCTGGGAGGCGGAAAGGCTGACGTGGCCTGGGTGATGAGCGGACGGAGCAGAAAGGGAAGAGGTGTTGAGCCTTTCTCTCTTCCAGCAAGGGTACCTGGTGGATGGGGAGGGTCAGGATATGGAGGGCAACTTGGCTTATGCCTTTTCCTTGAAGCCTGTTGAAGTTATATGCTACCTTTTCTGCTTTTCTCTGTGTAAAGGGGGCGTGTTTACAGATGGGAAACACTGCGCTTCTGCCAGGGTGGTTTGGGGGGATGCAGGGGGGTGGAGACACAGAAAGCTCTAGTCAGAGACGAGGTTCCTTCCCTACACTTGTACAGATGATTGCTCTCAATGCTCTGACCTGCCGGGAGCTGTGTCTGCATATCTGCAGTCACTGTGACAGGAAATACAGGTCACGTTGAAACCTCTGACTCCTAAAGAGAAGGCAGGGTCAGCATTTGAATAACGTGACCCCTGGTGGCTCAGAAATCACCGCAACTCCTCTCTCATGGATAGAATTTGGTTTTCACATCTGCAGGGTAAGGGAGTTAGAGAAGGCGAGGTTCGGAAAAAGAACGAGACCAGCACTTTACAGGAACAGATCACCTTTAATGAGGCGAGAAGGGGCAGCAGTCAGATTAGTGAGCTGCTGCACTGACCCAAGAAAAGAGTAAGTATATAAAGGCATGTATGTGGAAAGCTACTGTCTTAAGGGGGCCTGTTCTTCTCCATAATTGTTCGGAGTAGTTATCTCTTAAACGGCTGGGGCAAGCAATTTTGGAGACCAGCCAGAGGCTGGACTGCCTGGGAGCTGGGCGTAATCAACCTTAATGTCCACTTTTTTTTTCTCTTAGGGTGAGAGAGTTCTTTGTTTTGCACAGAATGGTGGAGAGGACCCAGAGGGGAGATTTAACTCCAGGTTATTTTGAGCTATGTAACTTTGCTTCAACATCACAGAGAGGAAGAGGAGTAGAAGGACATGAAAATAGACATTTTGAAAAGATTTTTGGTGAATTTGTCAGGCCGACTGCCATCACAGCTCTGAAGCGTAAGATAAGCAGAAGCCTCCTTCTCATCCTTGTAGAAACGATAAGGGTGTTTTTTAGCAGGTGGCTCTCCTCCAGGTGGTGATTCAGGGGCCCAGGCTACTCTCTCTGGGGGTCTTTGCCACACTCATTGTGGGTCCCCAGTGGCCCCACAGGATGTCTCTACTCCAACCTGTGTGAGTGTCTGTCTGTCTGTCGTGTTCCTGTCCTGCGTTACTTCCGCTCACATTCTGTTGCCACAGCTCACGTGGCCACACATCCTGACAAAGAAAACTGGGAGAGATATTCTGTCCTCTCATCTCATGTCTCTTGGAAGAAGTGGGCAGGGATTTGGCGATGAGCTGTGAGTTTAGGCCAGTGCTTCTCAAACTTGAGCTGCATCAGAGTCACTGGAAGCCTCCATGACCCCTTCCCCGGTGTTTCTGATCCAGCCGGCCTTGGATGGGGCCCAGGATTTACATTTCAAACAAGCTCCCAGGTGAGGGTGATGTTGCTGCTGGGCCCACGAAGGCATCTTTGTATCTTGATTTATCCACGATGGTGATAGAGGCCAGAAGTATAGCCTTACTACTGTGACCCAAAAGAGATTGGGGGGAGGAGAGAGGTAAAAAAGATAGTCTTGGCCAGGATATTTGGAATGTTACAAATAATTAAAAGTGGAAGACTTCTTAGAGGAATTGGAGTTTTGGAGGGTTGAGACCGGGGTTGTCAGGTACGCATGCTCTGTGGGGGTGGGGATGCAGTGGCTCCTCAGCAGGCAGGCAGGGGGACTTTCAGCTGGGTTCGCTCTCTTGGAGCAAGCAGGAAGGTTTGGAGAATGAAGCATCTCAGTGGATAAGGAGAGGTGACCCGAAGCAGGTGGTAAAGGAGGACTTGTGGGAGACTCAAATGAGAGTTTGTGAGCTGAACTGAACCAGGTGTGGATGTGGACAAAGACAAGCAGGACTTGGGTTTTGGAGTTTCTTTGAGTCCCAGCACCTGAAAAATGAGGGATAATGATGGCTGTCTGTTGGATACTGTGAGAGTCAGGGTGGAAGTTTGTAAACTTTTGGTTTGTGGTGCTTGGAAGATTAAGAAAATGCCCTGCGGTTTCATTTACTAAACCAATCATCTGCAAACAGCTTCATCTACATTTATGTCCTAACAACTCAGTAGCCATTTGAAAAAGTAATCAACATAGGGGCTTCCCTCATAGCTCAGTCGGTAAAGAATTTGCTTGCAATGCAGGAGACCTGGGTTCAATTCCTGGGTCGGGAAAATCCCCTGGAGAAGGAAATGGCAATCCACTCCAGTATTCTTGCCTGGAAAATCCCATGGACAGAGGAGCCTGGTGGGCTACAGTCCATGGGGTTGCAAGAGTCGGACATGACTTAGCGACTAAACTACCACCAATTAATATAGAAGAACAGTACATTTCTGTGTCAAGAACCACAGTTACATGCTGATGGACTGTGTGTGCCTGCAGATTCCAGACTGGCTGAATTGTCTGCATGCTTGGTATCTAACTTGTGAGCATCACTGTGTAACCCTGAAATATGGGACATATTTTCTAGTGCCTGTGCGAGTTCACAGTGGTGACCCAGCTGCTTGGGTGCTTGGATTGAAAACTGTGGAATCTGGTAGTTTTCCCCCTTCATTCATTCACTGAATAAATACTGAGTATCAGTGAGGTGTCAGGCACTGTCTGTCTCTGGTAGGGTAGAGTCAGGGGAGGGGGCTGAAACCAGACATTGAATTGGATAATCCTGTAAATGTAGATTCTCACGGGGGCCAAGGCCATGAGGGGCAAGTTCTGGGTGAGAACTTGTGGGAGGATTTGACCTGGTCAGGAGAAGCTTTCTCAAGTTGGTTGCACTTGAGTTGTTCCTGAAGTTACTGTGCAGTATAAATAGGGGAAGGAACCGTGTTCTAGACACAGGGATGGCAAATATTTTCAAGCTGATGAAGGACTGACTTTTTCCCCTCCGTAACTGCACTGTGATTTGTTTTGAGACTGGTTCTGTGGCTTGGGTGTGCCTGCAGGTCAGCTAGCGTCTGGACTTTTCTCTAATGAGACAAACCCACTGATGGTGCAGTTGAATGCTGATGTGAAACCCAGTTGCACAGAGTTTCAGTGTTGTTTTGAATAACTGCTCCAGTTGGGGAAACAGCATGAGCAATAGCCCTGTGGTGGGAGGCAGCTGGGGGAGCCAGCCTGGGTGGAGCAGACAGTGGGAGGCAGGGAAAGCTGGGAGGGGCTATGCTGAGCCTCTGGGCTCCAAGGGGAATACGGGTCTCTGATGAAGACAGCTTGTGGAGAAGGAGAAGTTGTCTGGACTACTTTCTACTGATAGATTGTGAGTGTCAATAGGTCAGGTACTCAGCTCCTAAGATTTGTTTGAGTCATTCAGACAACTAGCAGTTCCCCTGTTTTTCCCCTGGATATAGACTCCAGCGGCATTGCAGCTTCCCAGAGCGAAGGGAATTCTTGCCCTGTTGTGTGAAAAGTGTTCCGTGGAAGGACCTGCTGGAGGTTAGAGAGCTCCGTGAGCACCTCTGGTTCCTGGCTGGACCAGCCCTGGGGCTCAGGCCCCATACAGCTCCCAGGCTGCCCCGGAGTCCAGCCCAGCTTGCTACTTCCAGGGTGTGAATTTCAGGTGTTCCCGTGAAGTCACGTCGAACCTGTTACCAGATTCTGTGTCCCAGCGCCTTGCTCTTCTCTGCCATCCTGAGGCTTATGCGTATCTGTGGGGCATCGCACCATATCCCAAATGGGCCTGGCCTTTGTTCAGGAGCCACGACAATCTCCGTTCTTGGCTTGTGTGGGTGTCTTGCAGGGACTTTTAGCTCTCAGCATCCTGGATTGGGACCCTTGATGTCAACAGAAGGATTCTGTTCCTCCTCCTCTTTGCTCAGAGAGAAAACCAACGCCCTGTGATCTCTCCTCCCAGGTACTTCGTGCTGGATTTCGAGGCTGGCATCCTGCAGTATTTTGTGAATGAGCAGAGCAAGCACCAGAAGCCTCGAGGGGCCCTGTCTCTTTCTGGTGCCATCGTGTCCCTGAGCGACGAAGCGCCCCACATGCTGGTTGTGTACGCTGCCAACGGGGAGATGTACAAACTGAGAGGTATGTTCACCCCCCGGGAGCTTTGCAGACGGGACTCGTGGGCTCACAGGTAACATGGTGATGGCGCTCTGGTTTTTCAATTTCTTTTAAAATCACCTTTAACAGTTGGCCATATTTGAAGACTCTGGTGACAGACACTGCCTCTCCTCCTCTTGAGGTGGGGAGAGGAGCTGAGATTAGGAAGTATTTGTCCTCATTAACCAAGGAATTAAGGACAAATGCAAGGTGAGTGATCGCAAAGCTGGCTGAACCTTAGGACTTTGGCGGATTTTTCATATTAGCTCAGTATAGGTTTGCTTGTACCTTATATGGTGACTCTTCAGTACCCATGAGGCTGCTCTAAAGATAAAATAAGCCTTTTCCCCCCCTTTCTTTCTATTTCTTTTGTGGCTGCACTGCATGACATGTGGGATCTTCCAGGACCAAGGATGGAACCCATGCCCCTGCAGTGGAATCATGGTGGCTTAACCAGTGGATCGCCAGGGAAGTCCAAACAAGTCTTTTAGGGATCATGGTGGGGATCTTCCTGGTGGTCCAGAGGCTAAGACTTTGCCTTGCAATGCAGGTGGTGCGGTTTTGATCCCTGGCTGGGGAAGCTGGGATCCCTCAGGCCTTGCAGCCAAAAAGCCAAAACATGAAACAGAAGCAGTATGGTAACACATTCAATAAATACTTTAAAAATGGTCCACATCAAAAAAAAAAAAAACTTAAAAAAATAACAAATCTTTTATTTTTTTTAAGAAAAGGGTCATGGTGTCCTCAACTCAGAGCTTCTCTAGATCCAGCTGTTAGTAAAGGCCCCTTCACTTCTACTTTATTTTGGGGGCTGCATCAAGCAACTCGTGGGATGTTAGTTCCCTGACTAGGGATTGAACCCAGGCCCCTAGCACTGGTAATGCTGGGTTGTAACCACTGGGCCGCCAGAGAATTTCCCCTTCTTGTACTTTATTTAGCCCTCTATGGCCCTAGAGCCTGGTGAAAAGCCAACTGGTGTTATTTCCTGTTGTCTGCTATCTCCCCTTCTCTTTGCCTCTTGAAAGCTAGGAGCCCAGCATTTGGCCGCAGCTGGAGGTGCTAACTGGGGCTTCCCCAGTGGCTCAGTGGTAAAGAATTTGCCTGTGCAAGAGATGCAGGAGGCATGGGTTTGACTCCTGGGTTGGAAAGATCCCCTAGAGGAGGGTATGGTCACCCACTCCAGTATTGCCTGGAGAATCCCAGGGGCAGAGGAGCCTGGTGGGCTACAGTCCATGGGGTCACAAAGATTCGGACACGACTGAAGCACCTGAGCACACGCGCACACGGAAGAACTAACCGCCACCCCCACCAAGGCACATCCACTGCACAGATTTTCAGATGGGGCGAACTTGTCTGCAGTGATGTGATTTGATTGCTAGACCATTCTACCAGCATTCTATCACAGGTGCATTGCCGGAAAAATAGTCGTCTTCTCACAGAGTAACAAAACCGACCCCCAAATGCACATTTGCTCACATGTGCGCGCACACATACAGTCAGTATTGTTAAGGTCTGAGGAAAGAAGTGTGTATTAAGTGCTGGGAGGTGGTTGGTAATCACACCTCGTGTGTGTGCTCAGCCATTCGGTCATGTCTGACTTTTTTGCAACCTCATGGACTATATAGCCCACTAGGTTCCTCTGTCCATGAAATTTCCCAGGCAAGAATACTGGAGTGGGCTGCCGTTTCTTCCTCCAGGGGATCTTCCTGACCCAGGGATCAAACCCACATCTCCTGCATTGCAGGTAGATTCTTTACCGCAAAGCCGTGGGGGAAACCCGTGCCTTTTAACATATTTATTTAAGGGAAGGCTGAGTACAAAGAAAAGGCCCCTCATTCTTTGTGCTTGACCTGGGGGCTGACGGTGGTGGGTCCGCCTTTGCAAAACCAGGCTGAGGGCTTTGATTTCCCCAGCTCAGAGCCCAGTGTTTGCTGACTTTCCTTCAGGCTTTGCTACCAAGGGGTAGGCTAAGCTGCAGTTCCTTTATTATATTTTCACTTTATTTACTTTTGACTGGAGAAGACTCTTGAGAGTCCGTTGGACAGTGGGGAGTTCACGCCATTCAATCCTAAAAGGAAATCAGTCCTGAATATTCGTTGGAAGGACTGATGCTGAAGCACCAATACTTTGGCCACCTGATGTGAAGAGCTGACTCATTGGAAAAGACCCTGATGCTGGGAAAGATTGAGGGCAGGAGGAGAAGGGGGTGACAGAGGAAATGATTAGATAGTATCACTGACTTGGTGGACGTGAATTTGAGCAAACTCTGGGATACAGTGAAGGACAGGGAAGCCTAGCGTGCTGCTGTCCGTGGGTTGCTGCAATGAGTCTGATACGACTTAGCAACTGAACAACAACTTTTGATCAAGCCGCAAGACTTGTGGGATATTAGTTCCCCCGACCAGGGATTGAACCCAGGCCCTTGGCAGTGAAAGCTGAGTCCTAATAACTGGACCACCAGGGGATTCCCTGAGGTTCCTTTATTATCTGTATACAAGTCATGTCTCAGGATCTAGAAAACAATCCCCAAAACTTATGAAATAAAAATGCCTTTAGTTGAAGAAAGTTTTTCAGTTTTGGGGAACCATGAGGAGAGTCATGTTTTCTTTGGAGATTCATGCAGTGCGTGTCCTGGATTTATATGGTCCTTGGCTTCGCTTTGCTGTTTATTGCTTAATAAATTGTCAAAGCAGAAACAATAGCAGGTGACAGACTTAATGGCACTCCCTCCCCCCAACCCAGGGCTGTCAGGGTTTATAAAAATGACACAACCCCGTACAGGAGAACAGTCTAACCAGTTTGCCAATGGAGACATCTGTTTGCCTTTTAGCTGTTTTTCTCTGGATTATTAAGCCCCAAACTTTTTTTTTTTAGGATAGTTTTAATAGCAAACATCAAAGTTTCATCGTTTGCACGAACTAATCATAAGGGCTAAATTTAGCTTAAAGGTATCCACTACAGCAAATGGAGGATACATTTCTGCTGCTTTCCGGCTGGTCCTTAGTCCATCCCCCAAGGATCTGGGCATCGGTTTTTCTCATTTCACATCTTGCTACATGTAGAGATGAATCTTGATGTTAATAGATGCACAGCTTTGAGGGATGTTTTTGGGGCAGAGCCTTTGGGTACTGCCACAAACCAGCAGTGTTGCTGAGGAAAATGACTCTAGTTTTTGCAAAAATCCTTTTTCCTTTGGAGTTGAGGTTCACCGGGTCTACACTTCCAGATTTCTTCACCTGAAGCTGAATTTGGGTTTTACTGACAAATGATACTGAGGGTCATTTTTGTAAAAAGTACAGAGTTACAGGGGAATCATTCTGTTTTCTGCATAGAAAATGTTTTCAACATTTATGCAGTATTCTTTTAAAATATGTATGCAGTGAGTTATGCAATTAAATTAATTTGGATTTTATGAGACCCTGTTATGTATCCATGGTCTTTTAAGAAAATGAGTTTGTATATTTGAGAGATGGGGCTGTAGATGGAATATTGTGACTATGAAGTTGACTTGTCCTTAAGAGTCTCTTTAGGGGACAATTGAGGGTCTCTGAGGCAGCATTTGGTACCTTGTTCTGTCCAATCATAGTAACCCTTGAGAATACCTATTAAAATGATAATTCAGCTGAATGCTTATTTTGTAAAGGCTGATAACTCCATAGTACAACTTCAGTAGATAACAAAAGGGCCCTGAAACACTGTACTCTGGTCCTCCTATTAGTCACGTGTGGTGGCAGCATTAAAAACAATCATGTTTTGTCTTCTCTGCTGCTTTTTAAAGAAGTAGAAAATACTTTGGCATAATAGGTTAAAAAATGGCCAGATTGTTCTTGAACATTTCAGAATACGTTATTGACGTGGTTTAAGAGGGAATTTGGGGGTCACTTCTTCAGGGAAGCCTTCTTTAAGCACCTGTCCTAGGGCTATTTTAGGTACCCCACTATATATACTATATAATGAAGCAAGGTGTTGTTTATGTGTGTGTGTGGGGGGTTGTCTTTTCATTTTTGGGCTTCCCATGTGGCTCAGTGGTAAATCCACCTGCCAGTGTAGGAGGCACAAGAGAAGCAGGGTCGATTCCTGGGTCAGAAAGATCTCCTGGAGGAGGAAATGGCAACCCACTCCAGTATTCTTGCCTGGAAAATCCCACAGACAGAGGAGCCTGGTGGGCTACAGTCCATGGGTCGAGAAGAGGCATGACTGGGTGACTGAGCACGCACACATACCCACTTTTCCTTTTGTTTATTGTTTCCTTTACTCTGCAAAGGAATAAAAATTTTGAGTTTAAGTAAGTCCCATTTATTTTTATTTCCATTATTCTGGGAGGAAAAAGGTCTTGCTGTGATTTGTATCAGAGAGTGTTCTGCTTATGTTTTCCTCTGGTAGTTTTATCGTCTCCAGTCTTCCATTTAGGTCTTTAATCCATTTCGAGCTTATTTTTGTGTATGGTGTTAAAAGAATGGTCTAATTTCATTTTTTTGCATGTAATTGTCCTGTTTTCCCAGCACTGTTTGTTGAAGAAACTCTTTCCAAGTTTAATATAGACTTGCCTTCTTTGTCATAGATTATTTGACCATAGGTGTATGGGTTAAGGTGGTTTTTTTTTTTTTTTAATTTTACTGTGTCAGGCCTTAGTTGCGGCATCTGGGATCTAGTCCCCTGACCTGGGGATTGAACTCGGGCCCCCTGCATTGTGAGCACAGAGTCTTAGCCATTGGACCACCTGGGAAGTCCCAGGTTAAGGTGTTTTAACAGAGTATCTTTGCAGCCACTTAGACATGCCCCACCAAGAAGCAAATTCCACGTCTTACCCTCTTCTAATGACAAGAAATCTTACTCATTTTTATTCTGCTTGAAATTTCTGAGTTTGGTGTTTATTAGTTGAATAGAGACATTTAAAAAAATGTGTTTGGGTAATAGAAATGCTACAATGTGGATGAACCTCAAAAAATGTTAAGCTAAGTAAAGTAAGGCAGTCACAAAAGACCATATATGCATATGCATTATGCCATTCATATGGAATGTCTAGAACAGGCAGATCTCTGAGACAGAAAGCAGATTAGCAGTTTCCTAGGGATGGGAGAGGGGGTGAGAGTAGAGAAATGGGAAGAGACTGCTGATGGGAACAGGATTCTTTGAGGGATCCTGAAAATACTTTAAACCAAGGTTATGGTCACAGTTGTACTATTCTGTAAATATATTAATACTCAAAATCACTCCATACTAAAGACAGGTGAATTTTTTATATATAAATTCTATCTCAATAAAGCTGTTTAAAATCTGTTAGAAATTTAAAAATATCTATTTATTTAACTGTGTTGGGTCTTAGTTGTGGCATGGGGCGTCTAGTTCCCTGACCAGCGATTGAACCCCAGCCCCCTGCATTGGAAGCCTGGAGTCTTAGCCCCTGGACCACCTTAGAAATTTTTGTAAAAATAATATAGGTGTACTGATTCAACCCAGTTCAATTGCTCAGTTGTGTCTGACTGTTAGAGACCCCATGGACTGCAGCACGCCAGGCTTCCCTGTCCATCACCAATTCCCGGAGAAGTGTACTGATTACTTTTGGAGAAATTGATCTGTATAGGCTCAATGAATTCTATCCAGGAAAATGAAATTCTGAAAATCCCTTTAAGTTTCTCAATAGAACTGTAGAAATTTCTTTAAAAAGAGAGGGGGAGATTTTTGGTTAAGACTTGGTGTCTGCTGTTTTTTTGGCATGAGTACAGTTGGTGTTTGCCTGGCCTTCCTTCATCTCCAGGCCCCCAAGCCCTCAGGTGTGTGTAGAAACAGGTTGGATGTGTTTTGGCTCAATTGCTACAAGGCGTTGTCTCTCTATTTCAGCTGCTGATGCAAAAGAGAAACAGTTCTGGGTGACTCAGCTCCGAGCTTGTGCCAAATACCACATGGAGACGAATTCGAAGGTAAGTAACTGCGGAAATGGGGGGCTACCGGGGACAGGTTGCCCCAGCTAGGATGGCTCCCCTTCAGCCCAGGATCGGCTTCTCTGGGGAGCTGTTTTCCATGTTATCCTTACACCATCAGAAATTCACACTTGTCCCATGACATTTACATTTAAAGCCGAGAGACAAGTGGGAGGATTTGCTTATACGTAGAGTGAGGGGGCAGGCAGACACTTGATGGGAGCTGATTCTGGAAAGACACTTCTAGAGCTTTCTGTGTTGTCCGTTTAGGCAGCCGGTCATTGGTCTGCAGAGAACTTGAGCAGGTGGTTTCACTGTGGCGGCAGACGAGTCTGGTTTACTGTTCACGAAGACTCGTTGTCTCAGATCCTTAAATAAGATGAGACCCCAGATTGTTGAGGCGCTTCTGCCTCTGAGTGTGTTAGCATGTTCTCGGGTACTTTGGCATCCAAGTGGGACTTAGTTTCTCTTCAGGATTCAGTCTGAGATCTTGGATCAGATGTGCATGGGGGTAGGAGGTAGGCGTTCTCACGGATTATTCAGAGGCTCTCCTATCATTAAAGACAGAAAATAAGTCAGAGAAAGTAAAAAGCCATCGGATATTGCTTATGCGTGCATGCTCAGTCACTTCAGTTGTGTCTGACTCTTTGCGACCCCATGGACTGTATCTGCCAGGCTTCTCTGTCCATGGGGTTCTCCAGGCAAGAATACTGGAGTGGGTTGCCATGGTCTTCCCTGACCCAGGGATCAAACCCATATTTTACTTAGGTCTCCTGCATGGGCAGTCGGGTTCTTTACCACTAGTGCCACCTGGGAAACCGGATACTGCTTATATGTAGAATCTGAGAAATAACACAAATGGATGTATGTAGTAAACAGAAACAAACGGACATGGAAAACAAGCTTGGGGTCACCAAAGGAGAGAGGGGAAGGGGCAGATTAGAAGTGAGGGGTTAAGAGGTATACACGTACACATAAAACACAAGCAACAAGGACTTACTGAGTGGCGCAGAGAATTCACTGTCTTGTCATAGCCTAAATGGAATATAATCTGAAAGAAGCACTTTGCTGTCCACCTGAAACCAACACAGTACTGTAAATCGACTGTATTTCAATTAGAAGGTATAAAAAATAATGGCCTGGTGAATTTATTCAGGGCAGGAAATATTTGTTAAAATTACTATTCAAAGGGCTACCTCTTTTATATCATTAGTTCAAGGTTCGTTATGATATTCAGTTGCAGTCTTTTTCTGTATTCCGTGCATCTGATAGGAAGACCCACGCTTGAAACTTCGTAGGATTCCATTTCTTGTAACCTCTCTGCTCATGGAAATGTCTTATATAGGTATACCTCTCTGTTCTGCCTCCAAACACAACCTGAAATGATTTCTCCACAATGATGTGTTCATTTTTTTCTTTTTTCTCCTTGACTTGCTCACTACAGCTGCACTCACTGTAATGCCCCTTTAGGCTTGCCCCCGCTGGGGTCTGGGTGACCATAAGGATGGCCTTTTCTCTTTTAAAAAATGTATTTTGTTGAAGGATACTCAATTTACAATGTTGTGTTACTTTCTGCTTTGCAGCAAAGTGATTCAATTATATATGCATTCTTGTTCATATTCTTTCCCATTATGGTTTTTCACAGCATATTGAATATAGTTCCCTGTGCTATACAGTAGGACCGTTTTTGTTTGGCCATCCTGTATATAATAGTTTGCATCCGCTAATCTCAAACTCCCCATCCTTCCCTCTCCCACTCCCTACCCCTTGGCAACCGCAAGGCCATTCTCTTATGTCTGTGAGTCTGTTTCTGTTTTGTAGATAAGTTCATTTATGTCATATTTTACATCCCATCTGTGTGATATCATATGGTATTTGTCTGCCTTCCTTCACTTTGTATGATCATCTCTGGCTCCACCCAGGCTGCTACCAACGGCATTGTTTCATTCTTTTTTATGACTGAGTCATATTCCAGTGTGTGTGTACACACACCACCACATATTCTTTATCCATTTGTCTGTTTGTGGACACTTAAGTTGCTTCCATATCTTGGCTATCGTGAATAGTACTGCTATGAACATTGGGGTGCATGTATCGTTTTGAGTTATGGTTTTGTCTGGATATATGGTAGGGCCCCACTTTTAAAGCTTTTCTCCCTGTGTCCTCCTTTATTTTCTAGGAATTATAGTAGGCGTTCTGGACATTTCATCAATATTTTATAAATACCTTGGCAGGCCAGTATAAAGTTATTTTCTATGTATCATTTTACTTTTTGTTAAGTGGAACAGAAGGGGATAAGCTATAAAGGACATACCTTTACCTGTTGCTAATTGGAGGTGACTGTTCTTTGGTGAATTTAGGTATGTGTTAGTATGTGTGTGTTTGGATCTGTAGCTCTCAGATGTTAAAAACCTCAGATGTTTTTTATACAAATGGATCCTATCATGCACACTGTGCTACATTTCCTTTTCATTTACTGATACAGCTTGGAGATTTTCCCCTGCTGGGTATCTGCCTCTACTACACTCTTGTTAGGATGGCCAGATGCTGTTCTGAGGGGCGGATGTCAGAGCTTTGAGTCCATCACTGATGGATGCTTAATTTGATTGTGGTGGTTGTGCATGATGCTGCAATAAACAGCTTTGGAGACTCATCTTCTAGAGCCTCTCAGGGTGTATGTCTATGAATTTATACCAGTGGAAGTACTGGGTCATGGAGGATGTGTCTTCTAAATTTTCATAGTCATTGCTAAATTGTCTTCTTCAAAAGTTGTCCTGATTTGTACTTCCATCCATTCTGTGTGTAAGGATGTTTCTTCCCCCTTTCACTAACCATAGCTCTCATGAACATTGAGTTTTTGGTAGTCTCACAGATAAAAAAAAAATAGACCCTTGTAATTTTCATTTTCACTTCTAAAATCATGACTGGAGCTGAGTATATTTTCAGGTGTTTACTGGCCACTTGTGTTTTTTTATGTAAACTGTCTATTTATATCCTTCACCCATTTTTCTGTTGAATTCGTCTTTTCTTCTTGATTTGCAGTAGGTGTATATGTGTTAAGTCTATTTGTCCTTTGCCTGTGATTTGTACTAGGTATTTTCCCCTAGTAGGTAATTTGTATTTTGACTTCGAATACATTCTTTTGCTATGTAGAATATTTTTGTAGTCAAATTTACACACATTTTCATTTTTGGGTTTTGGGTTTGTGTTGTGTTTTGAAAGAGCTTCTCTGTTCCAAAATTAAGAAAACATTCTTCAGTTTTCTTCCAGTTAATTTGTAGTTTAATTATCATGTGTAAATCATGGATTCATTTGGAATTTATTCTGGGTGTAAGAATTGAGGTGGGAAAAAAAAAAAAGAATTGAGGTGGGGAAACCAGTTTTAAGTGGGTTGATGTTTTGAGAGATCACTGCAGGCCCAGTGTTAGTAGAAATGGGAGAATCTGAAGATTTTCTGAAGGAGTAGCTTTAAGAATCTGGATTGATCTGTTAACATTAAAACCCAAGTAAAGAATAAATTAGAAGTTAGGACTTGTAGGATTCCTGACTTGAGAACTGGAGAGAAGATAAGCTGTCACTGCTCATTGATAGCATAGCAACCGGGATCAATTAGGGGAAGAATCATTTTTAAATTGTGAGCAGACCTTGTAATGCAGCAGAAGTATGATCAAGTCCAAGTCTGCTCAAGCAGAAGTAGTGAAAATTAAGTTAGGCTTGAAGTGAATATCAACTTGACATCCAGTTCACTGAAGGATGGCTGCTGAATTTGTGTCGTGCTTGCTGGGAACACAAGTTAAGCCTTCCCTTCCCTGGGTTCCTCTCATCCTATCTGAGAACACTCTCCATACAGCTGCTTGGAATTTTACCTTTAGAAACAAATACTGTGGGACTTCCCTGGTGGCCCAGTGGTTAAGACTTTGCCTTCCAGGGTAGGGGGTGTGGGGTTAATCCCTGCTTCAGGAAGCTAAGGTCCCATATGCCAGGGACATGAAACAGAACATAACAAAGAAACCAGAGCATAAAGCAGAAGCAATATTGTAGCAAATTCAATAAAGGCTTTAAAAATGGTCCACATGAAAAGAAAACCCACTTAAAAACACTTCACCCGATATCATATATTAATGCATATATGTGGGATCTAGAAAAATGGTTTAGATGATCTTATTCGCAAAGCAGAAATAGAGGACAGACATATGGACACCAAGGGGTGGGTGGGGGGCGGGGAGGAAGTGGGAGACTGGGATTGACATGTATACATTGTTGCTACTCTGTATAAAATAGATAACTAATGAGAACCTATTGTATAGCGCAGGGAACTCCACTCAGCGCTCTGTGGCGACCTAAATGGGGAGGAAATCCAAAACAAGAGGGGATAAATGTATACGTGAGGCTGGTTCACTTTGATGTACAGCAGAAAGGAACACAGCATTGTCAAGCAACTCTAATAAAAATTTGTAAAAGCTTTTTTGATGTAGAATCAACTGTTGCCTGGAACAGACATTTAGGCAGATGAAGTGGGGTTCAGCCTGGTGAGAGTATCAAGAGAATTCGGGCTTATTTGGGACTGCACAGCACTTTAAGGGTGAGCAGTCCAGCCTCAGGCGCTTGGCCAAGGTCCTCAGGGACAGCAGGCGTGTTTCTGATGCATTTGTGAGGTGTACCTGCCTTCCCGTAGGCAGTGTTCTTTTCAGATGGACGCACAGAGGACTTAGGGTCCTTCAAAATCAACAGAAGCAAATATTGGAGGGTGGGGTGGCGTGTTAGAGGAACTTATGAATGATACAGATGCCAGGTTTCTTTGCCCGGAGTGGGAAGTGGGATGATGAGGACAATAGCCAAGCCATTGGAAAGTGTTTAAAGGAAATTCAGATTTTTAAGCTTGTAGTTTTACTGGCCTTCATTCTGGCCAGGTAAAGGAATTTTCAGACTCAACTTGATGGAAACGTAAGGGATTTTTTAATACTTCTTTGGTTTTTCTCATCCAGACATGGAACGTGTAT